AAGCTAAAGCTGAGCAGCAGCTAAGCTAAAGCTAAGCTACAGCTAAGCTAAAGCTAAGCGAAAGCTAAGCTACAGCTAAGCTGAAGCTAAGCTGAAGCTAAGCTAAAGCTAAGCTAAAGCTAAGCCACAGCTAAGCTCACGCTAAGCTAAAGCTAAGCTGCAGCTAAGCTCACGCTTAGCTAAAGCTAAGCTAAAGCTAAGCTAAAGCTAAGCTAAACGCTAAGCGAAACGCTAAGCGAAACGCTAAGCTAAAGCTAAGCTAAAGCTAAATCTAAAGCTAAAGCTAAAGCTAAAGCTCTCAGGGGACTGGGGGGAACCGCTCCCAGGGGACTGGGGGAACCGCCTGGGGCGTGTAGCACTACCCGGCCCCTTTTAAGCTAAGAGAGTAAGGACCCTTCTAGGCAGAGCCTAGGCAGGGAAAAACTGCCACGTCACTGCGCCAACCATCCCCGCAGCAAATGGACAGATAGATATATGAACTGCTTGATTGATCAACTCGATCGGTACATAGATCGATTGCTATATATATATATATATATACACATACATAGATATACATACACACATATATATACATAGACATGTATATTAGGTTGTTGGGAGCAAGCGGAAATAGGTCGCCTGTAATCTGGTTCGTGCTTTTTTGTTGGCGGCATGCGGGAGTCATTGCAAATCGATCGCTTCCCCTTTCCCCCCAAAACCTCCTTATCACCCGAATCCCCCGCCCCGTAAACCGATCGGTGTATATGTATACATGTACCTATACGACCACCCTTCGGGTGATAAGGAGGTTCGGGGGGGGAGGAACCAACGTCTCACTCGATCGGTCTCACTATCGATCCCAGTATCGATCTCAGTATCGGTCTCGCTCGATCGATCGCCCTCGATCGATCTCACAATCGATCTCACTCGATCTATCTCACAGTTGATCTGACTATCGATCCCACAATCGATCTCACAATCGATATCACATTCGTTTCACTATCGATCTCACTATCGATATCACAACCGCTATCACAATCAACGTCATCATCATCAACAACATCAACATCAACATCATCATCACCAACATCATCATAATCGGGACACCGTCCTCATCATCAACACCAACATCATCATCATCACGGTCATCAACATCATCGGGACACCACCATCATCGTCATCATCATCATCACCATCATCACAATCATCATCATCATCATCATCATCACCAACATTATCATCATCAGCAGCATCGGGACACAGTCATCGTCATCATCATCAGCAGCAGTATCACCATCGGGGCACCATCATGATCACCATCGTTATCATCATCATCATCGGGACACCATCATCACCATATCATCCTCATTATCGACATCATCATCATCAGCATCATCAACATCACCATCAGCATCATCAACATCGTCATCATCGGGGCACCATCATCATCATTACCAACATCAGCATAAACATCATCAACATCATCATCACCATCGGGACGCCATCATCAACAACAACATCATCATCACCATCAGAAAAATCATCATCATCGGGACGCCATAATCATCATCAGCCTCATCATCATCAACATCATCATCATCGGGACACAATCATAACCAGCAGCATCAACATCAACATCATCATACTCATCATCATCGGGACACCATCATCGTCATCATCATGATCATCAACATAATCATCATGATCAGCAGCATCCTCATCCTCGGGACACCATCAGCATCATCATCATCATCGTCATCATCATCATCATCATCATCATCATCATCATCATCATCGACATCATCATCATCATCATCATCATCATCATCATCATCATCATCGGGACACCATCATCATATCATCGTCATAATCATAATCATGATCATCGTCCTCATCATCATCATCATCATCACCATCAGCATCACCATCATCATCATCATCGTCATCATCATCATCAGAAGCATCATCATCATTAGCATCGCCATCATCATCATCATCACATCATCATCATCATCATCATCATCATCATCATCATCATCATCATCGTCACCATCATCATCATCATCATCATCATCATCATCATCATCATCATCATCATCGCGGGACACCGCGGGACACCGGCGGGACACTGGCGGGACACCGCGGGCCACCGGCCGCCCAGAAGGGAGACATTTGGTCTGGCCGCGCCTCAGCCACACGGGACACTAGCGGGACACCGGCGGGACACCGCGGGCCACCGGCCGCCCGGAAGGGAGACATTTGGTCCTGCCGCGCCTCAGCCACAGGAGACTTTCTCTCGCCCGCCCACGCAGCTTCGCCTCGCCCGCACGGCACGCACGAACACGAAACCGAAATCGATTTCCCGGTAGGGGGGCTCTCCGTTCCACTTCGATCTCACCCCCTCACCTCCGATGTTTACATATAGATATATGTGTGTATCGGTATATGTATATATGTGTGTAGATGCACATACTCTAGTCGTTTCGCGTAACCCCACCAGCCCATTCAGAAACGATGCTCAGGCGAGTTGCCCTGATCAGGGGTGTGGAGGAGCATGCGGTGGAACAAAGGGAGGGAAGCCGTCACACCGCAAGAGGGGGAGCACGGATGAGGAATCGGAGGAGGAGAGGGGGGAGGAGGCACGGGGTGGAGGGAGGAGGTGGAGGGAGGAGGGAGGAGGAGGAATGACGAATGAGGACGAGGAGGACGAGGAGGAGGAGGAGGAGGAGGAGGAGGAGGAAGGCGAGCAGAAAGGCCACAGGCCTCTTGGATATATTTTCGGATGTCTTTTGAGATCGTCTAGGACCCCTTGGGGACTCCTCGGGGGCCTCTTGGGACCTCCTGGGCGCTTCTTGGTGCCATTGTGGGGCACTCTTGGGGGCCATCTTGGGGCCGTCTTGGACCCCTCCCCGAGGGAAAAAAAGGGGGGAGGGGGGGAAGAGGAAACGCCCTCGTACGCTTCAAATTGCTGGTGGAATTTGCAGTCGGCCCGGGTTAGTAGGTCGACCCTGCCAGCTCAAGGGTACCCGTGTGTCTTGTGCCTCGCGACACGTGCCTTCCTACGCTCCAATGGCGATCTGGCCTTCAGAACGGTCTTGTGTCCTCTCGCGTGTCTTCTCCAATGGAGTCCGACTGTGCCACCTGCCGATGTTCCCAGAGGTCGATCACGTTGCGGTGACTACCCAGGCATGCGTTGTTTGATTTGTTCGGTGCGCGGCCCCCAGAATGCCCGACTGGACCGCTTCTTCATCCGGGGTAGTTTTTGTCAAGGTTTGTTGGGCCAGGTAACGAGGCCCCGACGCGAGCCTGTTTGTGTAGGGATCCCCGCCTCGCATTTTGGACGCCATTGCCAACAAAGAAAGACATGCATTTCAGAGTTCTGAAATTGTGTGGCTAGGTTTCGAAAGACAGAGAGAAAGATATTGCGCAGGCCTTGCGGCCGGTGCCGCAGACCCTGAAGACGACGCCGCTGACCGCGACGAGGTAGAAGGAGGAACCGCATGAGGAGGAGGCGGAAGACGCCACCCCCTCTCCCCCCCCCTCCACCGTCGGGACACCCCCCAGGGCCAGGGGACCCCCAGAGGGGGATGCGTATCTGACGCCCCCCCACCCACCCACCCACTCCACCCCACCCCGAAGGGGGAGGACTCAAAAGGACGGGGCTTTGGTTACGATATTGCTAGTTCGGTTTTTCTCTCGCTGACAGGCTTCAAGGGAACCCGACTCGAGCGAAGAAGCCCTTCACACACGCCAACAGCCTTGGCGGATTGCGAAGGCCTTACGGCCGGTGCCGCCGACCTTGAAGACGACGAAGATGAAAACGAGGGGGAGGAGGAGCAGGAGGAGGAGGAGGAGGAGGAGGAGGAGGAGGAGGAGGAGGAGGAGGCAGAGGAGGAGCAAGAGGAGGGGGAGCAAGGGGGGGAGGAGGAGGAGGAAAGGGACAGGAGGAGGAGGAGGAGGAGGAGGAGGAGGAGGGGGAGGAGGAGGCCGTTTGGGCGCCTCTTGGGGCCCTTTTGGGCCTCTTGGGGGCCTCTTGGGAGTCTCCTGGGGCCTTTGGGGGGCCTCTTGGGGCCTCCTGGGGGCTTTTTGGGGCGTAAGGCTCGGATTTTTTGTTCGGGCTCCCCGTCTTGGGCCCCGTCTTGGGCCCCTCTTGGGGCCCTCTTGGGCCGTGTTGGGCGACTCTTGGGGGCCTCTTCAGCCGTCTTGAGGCTTTCTTTGGGGCCTCTTGGACTGTCTTCAACGCCGTGAAGGCCGAAAACTCGTATATGCTAAAAGTGTACGTTTGCGGATGGAACATCAATGATTGTGGCTTCTTGGGGCCTTCTTGGGGGTCCTCTTGGAGACTTCCTGGGACGTCTTGGAAGCTTCTTGGACCGTCTTGGGGCCATCTTGGGCATCTTGGGCCGGTCATTGGGCGACTCGGGGTCCTCTTGGGCCATCTTGGGGGCCGTTCTGGACATTCTGGGCTCCTTTTGGAACTTTTCCATGTTTCGGGGCCGCCCGAGGGGGAAACGAATCTGGGTGGCGACCCCCCCCCGGGCCCCCCGCCGCGACCCCTCCCCCCGCGGGGAAGGGATCTAAGAGAAGGGGCTGTCCTTCGACTCCACTACGACGTTGTTCAATTTCGCTTTGGATGGCGCGCTTGAGGAGGAGGGCCCAGGGAAAGGGACGGGGGACGACAGAATGACGAGGAGACGACTGTGACGACGACGGAGACGACAAGGAGACGACAAGGAGACGACGGAGACGACGATTCACACACGCCGACAGGGTCGGCGGATTTCTAAATCGGTGAGTCCGTCGAAAGACGACATGACCGATCTGCGGGCAGGGATGAGCCATTTTGAAAAGATCAAGTTGGAATCAGTTCAGCGCTGACAAAGGAAACAGTGACGTTGCTCGAAATGCATCGGCGGCGTGCGGCCGGCTCGTCAACGCTGTCCGTCTTGCCGTCCGTCCGGCGCTCTCTGCATTGGAGGGCGCAGCGCACCCGCGCGCGGGCCGGCCCGCTGCCCGAGGCGCTTGGAAGCACCGGGGCGACTTCGGGGGCCTGGGCGAGGGACTCGGGCAGGTTCGAGTCCTCCCCGCCTTGTCCAACCTCCTGCTGCTTCTGCTGCTCCTCCTCCTCATCATCATTCTCCTCCTCCTCCTCCTCCTCCTCCTCCTCCTGCTCCTGCTCCTGCTCCTGCTGCTCCTCCTCCTCCTTTTCCTCCTCCTCCTCCTCCTCCTTGTCCTCCTCCTCCTCCTGCTCCTCCTCCAACCTCCTCCAGCCTCCTCCGACCTCCCCCTCCCCCTCCTCCTCGTCGTCCTCCTCCTCCTCCCCCTCCTCCTCCTCCTCCTCCTCTTTCTCCTTCTCCTCCTCCTCCTCCTCCTCCTCCTCCTCTTCGCCCCGAGGCGGGCGCGGCCGGGCCCGCGATCAATGGACGCCCCCACCGCCGAGGGAAGACGCGAAGGCAGATACCGCCGATGGCCGAAGGCGAGAGCTCGTGTGCGCTCCCGGATTGGGAGAGGCGCCCAAGCAGCAGCCGACGGCGCGCGTGGCGGAGCCTGCGCCCGGCAACGTGCAGACAAACGGAGCTGGACTTGAGCTGGCTCGTCAGCGCGCAGTGGCAGTCTTGAGAGGCGAAGGTAGATCCCGACGCCATCCGCTGCAGCGCAAAGTTCGGAGCGGGCGAGGCAGCGACGACAGCCGAGGAGCCGTGGTGGGGCCTGCAGTGGATGCAGGACTACGCGGGCGAGGCAGAGGAGGCCAGGAAGGCCGCGGAGGCTAAGAAGGCAGAGGAGGCCAGGAAGGCCGAGGAGACTGGGCAGTGCCAGCGTCGCGCGGGGAGCTCGCGTGAGGAGAGCGGGGAAGAGGCAAAGCTGGAGCCCAACTACTTTAGCCACATTATTGGGAACTGCGAGTGCGAAAATTGGGAGGCTACGATAGAGCCAACAACCATCGGCTACAGCGTGGAGATCAGGCCGCGCGAGAAGGACGGGCAGTGGCAGCATTGAGAGGGCGACGACTGTACGCGCGAAAAGGACTGGCAATGGCAGCCTCAGGCGGACACGCAGTGGTCGCCTCAAGCGGATGGGCAGTGGCAGCCGAAAGGGGTCGGGCCATGCGCGTGCGAGAAGAGCGGGCAGTGGCAGCTCCGACCTTGCGAGAAGTACGGGCAGTGGCAGCCCCAAGAAGTCGGATCCCGCGTGCGCGAGAAGGACGGGCAGTGGCAGCCTCAAGCGTGGAAAAGGCCAGGGCGGCCGACAGAGGAGGTGCTGTCTAGAAAGACGGGCAGGGGCAGCTTCAAGCGAGCGAGAAGGGCGGGCAGTGGCAGCCTCAAGTGGACGGACAGTGGCAGCCTTTTGCGGACGGGCAGTGGGCGTCACGAAGACAGACATTGTGCGCGCGAGAAGGGCGAGCAGTGCGAGAAGGACGGGCAGTGGCGGCAGAAGGCGAAAGACGAGCCTGGGAACAGCGCGTGCGAAAAGTGGGAGCTGAAGGTAGAGCCCGACACCATCAGCCACAGCGTTGTGACCAGGACGTGCGAGAAGGGGCAGGCGAAGCTAGAGCCCAATATCGTCAGCCACAGCGCTGGGAGCAGCGCGCGCGAGAAGCGGGGGCCGAAGGCAGAGCCCGACACCATCAGCTACAGCGCTGGGGCCAGGACGTTCGAGAAGGGGTAGGCGAAGCTGGAGCCCAACATCGTCAGCCGGAGCGCCGGGAGCAGCGCGTGCGAGAAGGAGCGCGGGAGAGCGATCAGCCAGGCGATGTGGGCAGCGCGGCGGGTCATCGCCAGCAAATGGCTGCCGTGCCAGTCGAGGCCAACGCGCGAGGCCGAGGCAGAGCAGCAGCAGAAGGTGTTGAACAGGCCGCGCATCACGGCCCTCGCAAAACGCAGGGCCCGCGAGGGATGGGAGCGCCCAGCCAAGCGCTGAGAAGCGGAGCGCCAGGGAGCGGGCGCGGCAAGCGACGGGGTTCTCTGTTACTAATCCTACACACCCCGCCGCTGCTGTGGACCCCACCCTCGGCGAGGACAGTGGCAACCGTCTGTGGACGCTGCCTGCTCGTGCGAGAAGGGTGCTGCGAGGACAGTGGCAGCTTCCGCGCGAGATGGGGCGCCCGAGAGGGCGCGGGCGGGCAGCGGCCGCCCTGCGAGGGCATAGTGGCTGCCTGCGCGAGAAGGGCCGTCGCATGTGAGACAGACCCGCGCGAGCCGCGGTGCCCGCAGGCGAGGGCGCAACCGCGGGGCCGCAGCGCTCTCCCCCTCCCCCCTCCTCCGCGCGACCCCGGTCGCCTCGGGAAGTGTCTTCGAAGTATATCCTCCTCCCCCTCCTCCTCCTCCTCCTCCTCCTCCTCCTCCTCCTCCTCCCCCTCCTCCTCGAGCCTCCTCCGACCTCCCCCTCCTCCTCCTTCTTCTCCAACCTCCTCCTCCTCCTCCTCCTCTTCCTCCTCCTCCTCCCTCCTCCTCCACCTCCTCCTCCTCCTCCTTCTCCTCCTCCTTCTCCTCCACCTCATCTTCCTCCTTCGCCTCGCTACTTCCTCCTCCTTCTCCTCCTGCGGTATCGGCGCGAGTGAATCAGGTGTGAAAAACCAGCCCGATGCTGCACAGTCCCGCCTGATCTGGCTTCATAATCCAGCTCAGTCCGGCTTGATCCGGGACTGAATTGCCCGCATCCGCATTAAAGGCCCCCGGGTCGGGCTCAACTGCCCTCAGATGTTTTGGTTTATGGAGGTCTCCCGGAGGTTGCCCTCTAACCTCCCGCCCGGCCTCAGTCCGTTATCTTTCCACCTCTCGTGGCGCTAACATCGCAGAGCGGATTGCGTTCGGAAAACCATGAAATGGGCCCAGATTGCCCTAGAGAGTTTCGCTCCGGATTTCGAAGTCGATTTCGTGCGGAGCTGTTGGGGGCCAGGAATGAAGGCTAATCAATCCTGGATTTTTTCTAGCCATGTGAAATTCAGTTCGTTATTCGATCGCCGTTTCGGGGTATTGCACCGGCAGAAATCCACGCGAAATTCCGCTGCAGCACGTTTGCAAGGTCGGCGCAGAGACTTATACTTGGGCCTTTTTCCCCCATCCCTGCCCCTTGTCCTCCTCGTCTTCTTGTCCCCGTCCCCCTCCCTCTCCCTTTTCAAGAGGGCGTCGGGGAGGTTCGGGTCGGACGAAACCCAGAGGCCAAGGGATTGGCCCCAACACCAGCGTGGTCGTTTGCTCTCCTCCGCCAGAGGATGATCCTGATCTCGGCGGTGGTGGTAACATTCGGGCCTTTGAGGTGGCCTAGGGATCACCACCAACACAAAACTCCAGGACATCTGTCCCCAGTGGAGGCAGACCTCTGGATGTGGGTTGGTACCGACTTCCAGGCCCCCACGAAGCCTGAACCTCCCACGATGTGATGTTTCAATCGCGATGTTGTTTTTAAAGCCTTTTGGGGTCGCTTTCGGGTCCGGGGATTATCAGAAAGGAATCTGGGAAGCAGAGCCACCCTTCGGGAAAGGGGCGGGAACTCTGTGGTTGCGGAGTGGAAACGTATCAGAGGATGTTTGGGAAGGGGAGGTTACGGAAAGCGGGGGGGGCGGGTGGGCGACAATTGTTGACAGCTGGTTTCGGCACGCCACCCTGCTCCTCTTTCGACTGGTTTGCTCTTCAAGCGCCAGGAGGTGCCAGGTAAACAAGGCACGTGAGCTGATGCGCGTCAAACCTCCTTTTGCGATCTCCCCGTTTCCAGACCCCCAACGCCATGATTATTTCACAACGGGGGCCCCTGGAGAGCTCGACCCATTCCCCGCGACGGGCTTTCCAGCCTGAGTTTTTTTTTGTTTTGGCGGACCTGGGGATCCAGCGAGTGCCCCCAGAGGCCGGAAACAGTAAACACCAGCAAAACAATCCCGTCGTGTTTTTTCACGACGCGACGGGGGCAGAGTCGTCCGACCCGCGAGGTGCTGCTTGCGACGGCATGTGAGCCAGCCCAGGCCGACGCGGGCGCGTGACAGACCCGGGCCCGAGCCGACGCGGGCACGGTGGCCCCAGGGGGGGGGGGAGGGAGGCATCCTTGCATGTACGCTGCATCTTCTGGGGGCGCTGGCTGTCCGCGGAGTTGATGTGCCGCGGTCCATGTTGTCCGCGCCACAAGCTTGGCATCGCTCGGACGTGTGCTTTTTTTTTCCCCGGCGGGGACAAGCGAGGAGCATCCTGGATCATCTGGCGAAAACAGCACGCACGAATCCGAAAAATGCACGGGGAATGGACGTCCGAGCGATGGCGAGCAAGGGTTTTGTACTGGAGCGGCGGTCACGGCCAACACGGGGTCACACAACCCCGCCGGGTCAAGGGGCCACCACGGGGTCGCCTCGGCCCCGTGCCCCCAGGTCCCCCGAGAGGGGTCACACAACGCGCCCGCCAACAGGGGTGCGTCATTGCCGCAAGTTGGCAACGCCAAAACGCGGACGCGGCCATGCCTTTTCTCGTGGCCGACGCGGATTCAACGCGGATCCGACGCGGATTGGACTCGGATTCGACGCGGATTCGACATTCGACGTTCGACGTGGAGTCGACGCGGAAAGCAGCCCGATGGGACAGAGGAGGTCCCCCGAAGATGCGACATGACGGCAAGGCGGCCGCGCGAAGCAGGGGGTGCCACGCAAGAGGGGTTGCGTGGCTTGGCTGCGAGGGCCGCTGTCACGTCCAGGGTTCGCCACGCGCTTGGTGGTCCTCCGGCCGCGAGCACAGGGCGCGATGCACTGGAGGCTTGCCCTCCAGGGCCACCGTCGCGTCCAGGGTCCCCCACGCGCTTGGCGCTCCTGGAGTCCTGGAGCGGACGGGGGATGAATGGCGGGACGCGTCCCCGAGCTTCCGCAGAAGAGGGACCAGGACGAGGCGGCATGGATAAACCGAGGAGGAGGAGGAGGAGGAGGAGGAGGAATACGTCGGGCAGCTGCTGGGCGGATGGACTTGGGCCCCGTGTCTTCCATCGTCACCTGGGCTTTTTCCCAACCAACCTGTGTTGTTGGGTCCTCGTTTTGAAGAGACGGTGCCCGCGTCTTCTCCTCCTCCTCTTCCCCCTCCTCCCTCCTCCCCCTCCTTGCCTCTGCTCTCGGCACACCTCTCACGCGTTTCGTAGCCCCATAGGGAGCTCCACCGAAGGCCCCAGTGGGGGTGTCCACATGCGGTTCCCCCACCCAGGGCAGCGTTTCGTGGCCCCATAGGGAGCTCCACCGAAGGCCCCAGTGGGGGTGTTCACATGCGGTTCCCCCACCCAGGGCAGCGTTTCGTGGCCCCATAGGGAGCTCCACCGAAGGCCCCAGTGGGGGTGTTCGCATGCGGTTCCCCCACCCAGGGCAGCGTTTCGTGGCCCCATAGGGAGCTCCACCGAAGGCCCCAGTGGGGGTGTTCGCATGCGGTTCCCCCACCCAGGGCAGCGTTTCGTGGCCCCATAGGGAGCTCCACCGAAGGCCCCAGTGGGGGTGTCCACATGCGGTTCCCCCACCCAGGGCAGCGTTTCGTGGCCCCATAGGGAGCTCCACCGAAGGCCCCCCATGCGGTTCCCCCACCCAGGGCAGCGTTTGTAGGGAGCGAAGGCCCCAGTGGGGGTGTCCACATGCGGTTCCCCCACCCAGGGCAGCGTTTCGTGGCCCCATAGGGAGCTCCACCGAAGGCCCCAGTGGGGGTGTCCACATGCGGTTCCCCCACCCAGGGCAGGCCCCATAGGGAGCTCCACCGAAGGCCCCAGTGGGGGTGCATGCGGTTCCCCCACCCAGGGCAGCGTTTCGTGGCCCCATAGGGAGCTCCACCGAAGGCCCCAGTGGGGGTGTTCGCATGCGGTTCCCCCACCCAGGGCAGCGTTTCGTGGCCCCATAGGGAGCTCCACCGAAGGCCCCAGTGGGGGTGCATGCGGTTCCCCCACCCAGGGCAGCGTTTCGTGGCCCCATAGGGAGCTCCACCGAAGGCCCCAGTGGGGGTGTCCACATGCGGTTCCCCCACCCAGGGCAGCGTTTCGTGGCCCCATAGGGAGCTCCACCGAAGGCCCCAGTGGGGGTGTTCGCATGCGGTTCCCCCACCCAGGGCAGCGTTTCGTGGCCCCATAGGGAGCTCCACCGAAGGCCCCAGTGGGGGTGTTCGCATGCGGTTCCCCCACCCAGGGCAGCGTTTCGTGGCCCCATAGGGAGCTCCACCGAAGGCCCCAGTGGGGGTGTTCGCATGCGGTTCCCCCACCCAGGGCAGCGTTTCGTGGCCCCATAGGGAGCTCCACCGAAGGCCCCAGTGGGGGTGTTCGCATGCGGTTCCCCCACCCAGGGCAGCGTTTCGTGGCCCCATAGGGAGCTCCACCGAAGGCCCCAGTGGGGGTGTTCGCATGCGGTTCCCCCACCCAGGGCAGCGTTTCGTAGCCCCATAGGGAGCTCCACCGAAGGCCCCAGTGGGGGTGTTCGCATGCGGTTCCCCCACCCAGGGCAGCGTTTCGTGGCCCCATAGGGAGCTCCACCGAAGGCCCCAGTGGGGGTGTTCGCATGCGGTTCCCCCACCCAGGGCAGCGTTTCGTAGCCCCATAGGGAGCTCCACCGAAGGCCCCAGTGGGGGTGTTCGCATGCGGTTCCCCCACCCAGGGCAGCGTTTCGTGGCCCCATAGGGAGCTCCACCGAAGGCCCCAGTGGGGGTGTTCGCATGCGGTTCCCCCACCCAGGGCAGCGTTTCGTGGCCCCATAGGGAGCTCCACCGAAGGCCCCAGTGGGGGTGTTCGCATGCGGTTCCCCCACCCAGGGCAGCGTTTCGTAGCCCCATAGGGAGCTCCACCGAAGGCCCCAGTGGGGGTGTTCGCATGCGGTTCCCCCACCCAGGGCAGCGTTTCGTGGCCCCATAGGGAGCTCCACCGAAGGCCCCAGTGGGGGTGTTCGCATGCGGTTCCCCCACCCAGGGCAGCGTTTCGTGGCCCCATAGGGAGCTCCACCGAAGGCCCCAGTGGGGGTGTTCGCATGCGGTTCCCCCACCCAGGGCAGCGTTTCGTGGCCCCATAGGGAGCTCCACCGAAGGCCCCAGTGGGGGTGTTCGCATGCGGTTCCCCCACCCAGGGCAGCGTTTCGTGGCCCCATAGGGAGCTCCACCGAAGGCCCCAGTGGGGGTGTTCGCATGCGGTTCCCCCACCCAGGGCAGCGTTTCGTAGCCCCATAGGGAGCTCCACCGAAGGCCCCAGTGGGGGTGTTCGCATGCGGTTCCCCCACCCAGGGCAGCGTTTCGTGGCCCCATAGGGAGCTCCACCGAAGGCCCCAGTGGGGGTGTTCGCATGCGGTTCCCCCACCCAGGGCAGCGCTTCGTGGCCCCATAGGGAGCTCCACCGAAGGCCCCAGTGGCTGTTCGCATGCGGTTCCCCCACCCAGGGCAGCGTTTCGTGGCCCCATAGGGAGCTCCACCGAAGGCCCCAGTGGCTGCTCGCATGCGGTTCCCCCACCCAGGGCAGCGCTTCGTGGCCCCATGGGGAGCTCCACCGAAAGCCCCCGTGGCGCAGTTCGCATGCGCTTCCCCCACCCAGGGCAGCGTTTCGTGGCACCATAGGGAGCTCCACCGAAGGCCCCAGTGGCGCAGTTCGCATGCGGTTCCCCCACCCAGGGCAGCGTTTCGTAGCCCCATAGGGAGCTCCACCGAAGGCCCGCCCCGGTGGCGCAGTCCGCATGCGGTTCCCCCATCCAAGGCAGCGCTTCGTGGCCCCATATGGAGCCCCACCGAAAGCGGCACCCACAACGCGTTACCAACAATTGCTTATGGTTGGGTCTTTCGCCAGGATAATTTTTTCGTTGTCCTCTTCGCTGCTTCCCCCTTGGACCCACGACTTTCCAGGGCTCATCTGTGACGGTTGCCTGTAATCACAGCATCGTAGTGTCCAGCGACATTCAGCAGCAGCGTTTTCATTGTAGTGATCTTGTGTGTCTGCTACAGAACTGCCCGCCGTGGCTTGGATTTTCGCAGTGGTGGCGCTGGTGTACGGCTTCGCGGCACCCTCCTGGTTTCCGGTTGCCGATCAGATGATGGTGTTCCCGCCCGAGTTCCCTTTTCTTGATCAGATGATAGGGTTCTGTATTGACTTCCTTGTCTTGTGGCCTTCGTCCCATCCCGCCTCCGTGCCTGGGTTGTGGACCAGATGCTTCTTGGATGCCTCTTGGGTTCTTTCAGGGTCCTTTGAAGACAGTTTTTTCTGAATTGGCGATAACCTGGACTATCCGGGGAGCGAGGAGGGGGCCGGCCGATAACCTAACCTTCGCGTTGTGGGCAGCCCTGCACATGCCCGCGCCCCCCCACCCCGGACCTGCACAACCGGCAAGGTTAGGTTATCCTTGGGGGGGGGAGGGGGGGGGCAAGCCCGATAAACCGGGTGATCACCGGACCTAGAAAAAGTTTCTTGGGTGACTTCCTGAGACCTCAGGGGAGCCTTCTTGGAGCATGTTGGGTGAGGCGTCCAGCGGTTCCACGGTGGTGCGCTTTTTGGGGCCCTCTGAAGGCTTCCTTGGAGGCCTCTTAATTCGGTCCTTGTCGGGAGCCTCGGGGGCTTTCCCCAGCATGTCCCTCGCGCGTCTGACGCCGCCCTCATCTTCGATCATCAGCGGCCGGGGGTCGTATCAGCCACCAGATGAGCAAGATACGGGGACGAAGAGAACTGCCACGGCACAGGGTGCCACAGATTTCGGGCTCTGGCCACGGCGTCGTCGCTTGGGACTCCGGGCGTCCTCGACCAGATTTCCAATTTCTCGTTCCTCCTTTCATGCAGCATTCTGAATAAACTCGTAACCTTAATAAAACAATGAATTCATGGCCTAACTTAGGTCCACTGTTTTTAGGGGTATCCCTAAACGTATGGGTTGCTTCGTCTGACACATCTGCAACAACACGATCCCTAATGTTTCTGCCACTCCTAACTTAGGTCCCATCCCAAAGGATCAGGTGAGGGGTACTCGTATGGCTTATTATCCTTCGCCCTCCTCCTAATCCTCTCCCTTCCCCTCCTGTCCTGCCCCGTATCATGCACTGCCATGCCCTGCGATGCTCTGGCTATTTCGTTGCCCCTTGCCTTATGAATTGCCTGGGCAGTTGGCGTGCTCTGCTTTGAGTATCGCTGTGCCTGACCTGGGCCAGGTCGCATTTCTCCGCTGCGTTAACGCAGAAGGCATACATACGCCATAGGCGTGAGGCATCAGTTATGTGCTCTCGCGGCAGCAGCACCCCACGCTGTTTCTCCCCTCGGTGCGCAGCCATTGAGGCTCAGCGCCGCCCGGGCGCGTCCGCGGCGCCTCCTCTGCCTTCCTTTCGCCCCGCTCCTCTGATCGTCCGTCCTGCTTGGCAGACGCCCTCTGCCCATCTCGCAAGGGCACCCCGCATTATCTATGTCCCCCGCATTTCGGAGGAGGGCTCGATGTTTAGATGTTCCTTCCCTCTCCACCCTGAGGCCACATACTCGGGCGCCAGAGCTTCAGAAGGCGCTCCTTCGAGGGAAGGAGGGAGGAGTAGGCGTGTGATGGTACCCAGGGGCCTGAAATTAAACCCCTCCACCGCCGCCGCAGGCGCAGGGACCACCAGAATTTCTCTCGCCCGTGTCATAATCATCACGCTGTGTTTCGCACTTCGGGATGCCGATCGCGTGCTGTGGTGTGGAAGGGGCGTTGTTCCCCGAGGGGGACGGAGCACCCCTTCCAAGTCTGGCTGTTGTACGATTGCCCTGAGCTTCTTTTGACAGCCCTGCCCCTTTCGAGCCCGCCTTTCGGCGCGTTTGCGAAGCGGCTTGATGCGTAAGGCTGCTCATCCGGCCGGCGGTTCTCCCGCGGAAACATTTCGATCCACAGAATCGAGCATCGTCTGGCATCGCAGGGCCGAACCCTGGATGCAACAGAGAAGAATTTGGAGAACAAGGGCCTGGCACGAACCCCCCGGGAGCTCGAAACGTCGTTCACAGAAAGTGGGGTCTCCGGTAGTGAGGGCGTGCCGTGGCGCTCCAGGAGCAGGAAGAGAGGGAAGTAGATGGGAAGACCAGAAGTGTAGAATCATCGGTAACAAGGCCCAACCAGTAATGCATGTGATCACGGCATTTCCCAGGCCGTTTGTCGCGCGGTTCACCTATCGGTGACGTTTCCCATCCCAACTTCGTAGAATCCGTCGGTTTAGTCACATCACTCTTCTGCGCTTCCTGCTTGCCCCTGTATGTCCTGGTATGATACTGGGGTGCTATGGCTGTTGCTTCGACAGCGACGATGGGAAGCAGGCCCGCTGGACATTGCTCTCAGTGTTGTCGTAGCGCTTCCCTCAAAGACCGTGGCCGTTGTGCCATACTGTCGCTCTTGTTTTGTGCATTGTCCTCGCCGTCGGTTAGGGGTGTCATCCTTGTTGCCGTCATGGTTGTGTGCGTTGAAGTGTTGTTTCCCTGCATCGATTGCGAGCCCACTTGTTACACTGCTGCAGTGGCATCGAGAGATAGTTTTGTAGCTTCCTCGCGCGGAATTAGTCGGACATGCGTTATCGAGGGAAAGGCCCATGTAGTCCATTTCATGGTGCGCACAGGTACGGTTTCAGGCCCATTTCATTTTGTTCTTTTTGCATGACCCTGGAGAATGGGGTCACGCTTGAACCTTGAGCGTAGAACGTCGATCACAGTTTTGTTGTTTTGCCCTCTCCTTAGTCCGATGCACTTTCGAAGGGCGTGGCGGCGTCCGCAGCCTTCTTTAATCCCGTTGCGGATTCCGTCACAGCGTATTGCACTAATTCTCAGACATCGCAGCCACCCAGCTGCAGTTGCCCATCCTGCCACAGGGCTTAGGTCGTGGACTCAAGGACCCCTAAGAGGATGGCAGGCCTCTTTGGGCCTTGAGGTCTCTTCTGCGCTTCGCGGGAGCCTCTTGGGGGCCACTGGGGGCATCTTGGGCGCCTCTTGCAACCTGGTGGAGGTCTCGGAGGTAATCTTTGGGTGGAGGGCTCCACATGTCAACTCGAGTTTCCCCTCTTGGTGCCGTCTTGGGGACCTCCTGAGCATGGTGTTGCGGGCGAGCAAAGGATCCAGAGGGCAGTCTGTCCGTCGCAGAATCGCAAGCCACATCTCCCTGAAGCATTAATTCTTCTTGGTGTCAGCAGCGGGGCTAGCAGAGTAGTACAGTTGGCACAGCAGGTGAGAACCTGGCCTGTCAACGGATGCCCAACAACAATCTCTTCTCTCGCGATGGGCCCGTAGAGCCACGGGGCACCTTACGAAGCTCAGAGTGGGCCAAGGATGTGCCCCCAAACAGTGATTGCACTTAGGTGCTTCTTACTGCCCTTCTACGGAGCTGGGTCCATCCGCGGCCCTGGCGGCGACGTTCCCGTCCTTCGCCGCCCCACGTTGTTTCTGTCTTTTCTTCTCAGCAAAAAACAACAAAACAACAAACAACAACATTAATCTATCCATATACGCATATAGAAGCAACGGCCTGGCCTGTTTGCGGCCTGGCGGCCCCGTTCCCGCCCGTCGCCGCCGCCCCGTTGCACCCCCCCCCACACTGCATGGCAACCGCACTCCGATGCAATCGCGCTGCATTGCCATCGCATGGCGTTTTTCGCTGCTTTGCGCTGCATTGCGCTGCGTTGCGCTGCGCTGCTTTGCATTGCATGGCTTTGCAATGCTCTGCACCGCATCGATGGCACCGTCTGGATTGCATCACCTGGGTTGGGCCACGTGGACCGCACCACCCGAACCTGCGCCGCACAGCTTGCAAGAGGCACTGCTTGGGGCCCAAGGTGGCTGGCATCTCTTACGGCAAGGTGCCTCATCGCCCCTGCTTCACGGCCGCGCTGGCCGCGAGATCCCCGGCCCGGGCCGGGCCGTCGAGCCTCCCGCCAGCGCCCCGAGGTCAGCACCTGCCGCCTCCAAGACGGCGTGTACGACGATCTCGTGCTGCCGTGCGGCGCCGAGATGTCCACCCGCGAGGGCGAGGTGCAGGAGGCCCCGCGGGCGCGGTGCCGCCAGGGCGCCGCCGTTCCCGTCGCTGCGGCCTTCTAGCCGTCGCCGACGCCGTCGCCGTCGCCGTCGCATTGCCGCCGCCGCCGCGGCCGTTGCGGAGAGGAGGAGCAGGTCCCGATACCGCTGCCATTCCATGGTTTTCGCCTTTTTGGGGGGCCTCCTCGGAGGCCCCCTGTCGCAACGGCGGGATCAGCCTCGAAATTCTGGCCAGCACGCACCCCAGGAGAGGTCCGGGGAGTAGAGGTACAGTCAGGTGGCATCCTTGCCCCTTCAGCCCATCCTTGGCAACTTTCGCTGGCCAGCCCCATTCGAAAACGTCAATATGGCCTTCCAAGGCCCAGGCATCCTTACCGCGCATCCAGATTATGCGACTTAACAGTGTCGGTATCTTTTGGTGTTCCCTGCCGCCGACATTGGTGAACCGTAGCCCCATGATTGGCTCATCTGTGTCGAGAGGCCACCGCGCTTCTCCCGCTCCATGGAGCTGCGAGCGGCATCGCCACGGGATCCTCGAAGCGAATGCTGCCCGATTGGCGATCGCAATGAGCACGATTACGCTGGGGTGTGGTTTGCCATCGGCGCCGTTGGGGCTCAGGGACCACCATGTTGCGCCAAAGGTTTGATGAGCCCTCGTCGGGGCGCGGCGGAGATCTCTGTCCAGGTCCTCGTCCGCCCCCCCCCAGGCCTTTGTAAATCACACCCTTCTGAGTCGCCGATGCCCCAACGCCCCATCCCCCCACGCCTCCACACGAGGCGGGGCGGTAGCGCTGCTGGTGCGACGTTTTTTTCCTTTTAGCGGGCCCCGCCCGCCGCTCGCTCACAAGTGGGACGCGTGCTCTCAGCTGCTCCGGCGGCCCCTGTCATGCGGGGGGGCTCCGCGCGCGCCCCTGCAGCTCCGACGGCCCTGGGTACGGTCGGAACCGATGGCAAGGACGGGCAGCCTTCCCAAGAGTATACTCCTCCTCCTCCTCCTCCTCCTCCTCCTCCTCCTCCTCCTCTTTCCCTCCTCCTCCTCCTCCTCCTCCTCCTCCTCCTCCTCCTCCTCCTCCTCCTCCTCCTCCTCCTCCTCCTCCTCCCAGTCCGTGCGTTGGTGCCTCTCTGGTCCATCCTCGACAACTTTCGATGGCCCGCCGGACTCGAAAGAGCGTCTTCGCGGGCGCCCAAGGGGCTTGCATCCTTCTCGCGCATCCTTGCTCCCAGTTTTGACTGTGCCCTGCTGCCTCCTGCGCCGCAAGAGTGCGACCATGTCCGTCGGATCCGGGGCTGCCCGAGCCGGCCGCCTGCTGGGGCGGCCGCCGGCGGGAGCACCTCGCCTGCTCGGAGAGCGCTCGCTTGCGGGGCGGCGCCTGCCAGAGCGGGTCTTTTGGTAGCAAGGCATGGGAGCTTGGTGTGCCGTCTTGGGCCTGTGTTTTAGCGTCGAATTGGCGTCGAGTAGCGCCTGGTAATCAATGAGACAGCGCCGATGTAGCGTCGATCGGCGTCGGGTAGCGTCGAGTAGCACCGATTCAGCGTCGACCACTGTTGATTAGCGTCGGTTGCCGGCGGCCAGCAAGCTGGTGGGGGAGGCTTCTTGCCGATGAGTTGCCACCGAAGTGTCTGCAGGGGAGGTTTCTTGCCGAAGCGGTTGTCTTCCGAGGCCGCAGTCTACCGGAGCCGGTGCCAGCCGAGGCTGGACTGCTAGAGCGGTTGCTTGCCTGAGGGGCTGTCCGACAGAGCGGCCCGTCGAAGCCCCCGTGCGAGCATGCCATGCCGTCCCCGTGTTCGATGCTGCCTGCGTTCGGGGTGGGCCGGGAGCAGGCATTGGCAATCGTTCCTGAGCAAACCCCCGTCACCGTCTTTACCACTGCCTCCGCCCTGCGGGCCACCGTTCGTTACCGTTCGTTGCTCGAGGTGGCACCTACATGCGTCGCGGGTTCTGGGCGCGGCGTGCGTCTGGCTCGGTTCGGTGAGCGGCCGCTGCTGCCCAGCTTGTTATTCTGCGCATCGCTCTCTGCTGTCGCACTGTGCATGTCTAACTTTGTCACGACAGGCAAGATATGTACACGCTTGTTAATTCCCGAGTTCGTCGATCATTGTGTTGTCTACCGATTTTGGGGCCAGGAGCCATTCGAACGGATCAACAGTTGAGGCGCCGTGTGAAATGTGCGCTCGGGCTCAGTTGAAGATGGTTTGAGAGAGGCTTCCGATGTTGCATCGTTTCGGTTGGCTCTAGTCTGCTGTCATACTGCCCCACTCCCCGTCGCGCTGTCTGGCATGCACTTCTCACCGGCCCGTCTGGCCACACGTCGTCGCCCGTTTATGTCAGTCCCGAGCTCTGTCGCCATCCCTTGCTTCGCCTAGTACTGTGAAGATGCTGATCAACAACAACCACCACCTCGGGCTCAGACAAAGTGATCTGGTTTCGGGCCGTTCCTTAGGTCAAGGGGACCTATTCGAAGCAGAGGCTCGCCGTGACCAGAAAAGCCACTTCATTTCTTCCTCAGCGCTCCTTATGGAAGTACGATGACTGTATACTATAATCCAGCGGCGCCCTCATCTTGCTACGCACGACACTGAACTGGCGCTGGCGTGTCTGAGCCAGGATCGAACAGCGCACTTCATCTTTATTACGTGTCGGCCCCAAGCCAGTCACGTTTTTTTGTCGCACACGCTTCCTTCGCGAGCGCTTGCATCCTCTTGCGGTTTAGTTTGATGTGTTGCTTGTGTTGCGGCACAGATGGACATCTACGGCCTCGTGAGCAGGCACACGCATCCCGAGGAGGAGGTGGCCCCCCCTGTCATCTCCTGGCCTGCCAGATAAGCGACGACAAGGAAACGTGGTCGAATGCGCCGACATCTGCGCGTAAGCTGCCCGTGTAAGCCGCGGCGTAAGATCATGATGACGTCTCGCGCAAGTCCCACTTCTCTTCGTCGCTGACATGTAACCCCTCGGATCTGCTGTTGCAAAAAAGTGCAACATCGCAATCTAAGCACCACTAGAGCTCCAGACCACATGCTTCTGCAGCAGTTTTGTCAGCCAGATCGATATGTGATGGTCCCTGGGCCCGAAGTCGGATGAAAATGCCTTGTGTGAGTAAATTGCAACGCCCAGATCTGAGGGTTATCGGAGTCGTGCAGCTCTGCAGTTGACTGGTGATTCAGAGGTCGTCTTGAGCACATGGCAGGCAAGGCCTGTACTTTGCTGGCTGGCTCGGTCCACCTCTCCCGAGACATCTACGATCCAGTGCTAGGAGCACGCCTTCCAGGACGGGAAGAAATTACACCAATAAACCTTGATTTATCATGAAGACAGGTGTGGGGTATCTAAATAAATCTAAATATAAGCGAAAGATTACGCACGTATATATATATGTATATATATATATATATAGTCAGGTAGGTCGGTTGATTGGTAGGTAGGTAGGCAGGTAGGTGTTTATGTATGTACGCGTACAAATATGATAACCACGATTGACCCCACACAGTGTGATTATTGTCATTCATGTTGTGCGTTCTATGTGGGGCAGCACATGTTGCGCAATCTACGTTGTGCGCGGCGGCCCCGAATTTTTCATGCAAAGAGTTCTTGCGACGGCACGCGCACAAGGGCGTTCGAATAATTGTCACATGCGCGCGCGAAGCCCGTCCGGTAGCATTGAATGAACATGTTGTCCACGCATGGTTTTCTTAAGCATTCGCGAGAGCGCGAGCGCAAGAAAAAACTTTGATACGAAACCATGTGTTTCCATATTTTTTTTGGACACTCAAATTTTTCAACCCTACGAAACCTAAGGTTTCTGAAGGATGTCGGCCTGCGCGCGCGACGGCGCGCGCGTGTGCACGTCGTCTCATGTTTTGCAAGGGGCATCCCGAGGAGGAGGTGGCCCGCCCCTGTCATCTCCTGGCCTGCCAGATGAGCGACGACAAGGAAACGTGGTCGAATGCGCCGACATCCGCGCGTAAGCTGCCCGCGTAAGCCGAAGCGTACGATCATGATGACGTCTCGCGCAAGTCCCACTTCTCTTCTCCGCTGACATGTAATCCCTCGGATCTGCTGTTGCAAAAAAGTGCAACATTGCAATCTAATCACCACTGGAGCTCCAGACCACATGCATCTGCGGCAGTTTTGACAGCCAAATCGATCTGTGATGGTCCCTGGGCCCGAAGTCGGGTGATCATGCCTTGTGTGAGTAAATTGCAACGCCCAGATCTGAGGGTTATCGGAGTCGTGCAGCTCTGCAGTTGACTGGTGATTCAGAGGTCGTCTTGAGCACATGGCAGGCAAGGCCTGTACTTTGCTGGCTGGCTCGGTCCACCTCCCCGAGGCACCTGCGATCCAGTGCTAGGAACACACCTTCCAGGATGGGAAGAAATTACACCAATAAACCTTGATTTATCATGAGGATAGGTGTGGGGGTATCGAATTACATTTAAATATAAGTATAAACTTACGCATGTATGTATATATATATATATTTATATGTATAGTCAGGTAGGTCGGTTGATTGGTAGGTCGGTAAGAGGCAAGTGTTTATGTACGTACGCGTACAAATATGATAACCACGATTGACCCCACACAGTGTGTTTCTTGTCATTCATGTTGTGCTTTCTATGTGGAGCAGCACATGTTGTGCAATCTACGTTGTGCGCGGCGGCCCCGCATTTTTTGTGCAAAGAGTTCTTGCGACGGCACGCGCACAAGGGCGTTCGAATAATTGTCACATGCGCGCGCGAAGCCCGTCTGGTAGCATTGAATGAACATGTTGACCACGCATGGTTTTCGTAAGCATTCGCGAGAGCGCGAGCGCAAGACAAAACTTTGATACGAAACCATGTGTTTCCATGTACTTTTTGGACACTCAAATTTTTCAACCTTACGAAACCTAAGGTTTCTGAAGGATGTCGGCCTGCGCGCGCGACGACGCGCGCGTGCGCAGTTCGTCTCATGTTTTGCGAGGAGCTGTTGGCAACTGTTGGTTTATACGCGAGTGTGCGCGTATTGTCTTTTTGCACAGCATGGTGGGAGGCTCGATACAGTTTCCATTGGGGTGCGAATTCATATCAGTCGTATATAAAATGCAATACGAAAGCGCGAACCGAAATCCTTGGGGAGGGGTGAATTTATCCTCTTTCGAATGGTTTCACAAACGAGTTGACACACTCCATGCTCTCGCAAACATTCCACCCACCCACCCGTACCTTGGTTTGCCAAATCCATGCAGCGGCGAATGCGATGAATGCTTGGCGTTGGCTGGTGCATTTCTGCGGCCGCGCCAGCCCAAGCACGCGCTCGCAGCGGCCAGGTAGTTTGTCGTGACCGACGCGGCCGCGGTGGCGCTGACCGCTGGGCACATCCCAGCGGGCACTTCAATGCGAGTCGGCGACTTGGGCGGGCGCGGTATCATGGCAACGTGGACGACGGTAGACACCATGATGATAGTAGCGATGCTGGTGACGATGTTGGCAACGACGACGGCACGGCCGGTGACGGCGCCGATGCTGATCACGCCGGCGACAATGACGGCGTTTTCGCGTCGGTGATGAAGGTTTTGGAAGGAGTTCGATGTGCGCGCGCGGCCGACGCGCGAGAGTGGCCCGCATGGTAGTCCTTGACGTGGATCGTGCCCCCCAGCACGCTCGCAACGGCGCGCGAATGATGTCGACATGCGTGCGCGCGGAGCCCGTTTGGTAGTTTTTGTTCATGGCAATGTTTGAAGTCGCGCTTTTTTATGTTATATATATATATATATATGAAATCCGCAAGAGCGCAAACGCAAGATTTGTGT